ATATTTCTTTTTCCGTGAGTCTATTCTTTTTACCGTGGTCTTTTTCTTTTGCCGCGGGACTACTTCTTTTGCAGTGACATTTTTCGGCCACCGTAAGAGATTGCTTTCTTTAGTGCGAGCACATTTATGATTTCTCTGAATGCAAAGCTGAAATAATTGGTGAGGTAATAATTCACGGGACTTATTTTCTCATACTTAGGAACAGATCGAAATAAATGTTTATCGTAAAGGGTTATTTCTCCTCGTGGTGGTAACTAATAAAAATCGGTTTAATCGTTTGTATCACGATGCAGTCACTTAAGGTATAGGTCGCGATATTTGGAGAGCTTAATGCTAGCCTTCACCAGGCGATGGGGTCGATTGCTCACGCATTACCACTAGTATCACGGCGATGTAATGTGATTGGCGAATTTCGATCTCCATTGTTCCCCGAGTTTAGGGGTCTGACTCCAAGTTGTTCCCTCGGCGGTTCGCTGTCTTACCGTTGTGTTTAATTTCTTGATAGTTGGTATCCCTGTTGATGGTATCAGGGTGAAGTGTTATGTGGATAGTTTCCTTAGCTCTTCTGGTGCACCAGTATGAGTCTCGATCAATAAACTTTAGCTCGTTCCAAATAGGATGGTGGCTGGTATTGTTGGCGTGCTCAGAAACGGCGGAGGTCTGGGTACGAGATAAACGTATATCCCTCTTGTGTTCTTTCATCCTCTGTAGCATAGGTCCTCCCTTTTCACCAATATAGATTTTTCTAGATTCACATGCAATCCTGTAAACCACACTTTCCTGTCTAATTGGATTGGCAGTGTCCTTTGGTCGTACTAACTGCGATCTAAGTGTCATGTCAGACTTGAATACGGCGCAGATGCCTTTACATAGGGCAAAACCACTGTGGACTTGAACTACGTCACAGGCTCTCTGCTTGAGGAGGAGTTTCTTGTTTTGGTTACCTTCGGTACAAAGGAGGGGGGGATAGCTGTTTGAAAAAAGAACTGATGATAAATGTTTCTTTTCCTCAGAGATGACTAATGATTTAGTCCGGAGAGAGGCGATATTGTTATCTTAGTTTCTCAGTTTCTATGGTGATAGTAGGTTGCTGGGCGATATTGTTATCTTAGTTTCTCAGTTTCTATGGTGAATCGGATGGTGGGTTGCTGACTGTTAAGATGCTGTAAGAAACAATTGACATGACTACGATCCAAGATGGTGAAGGTGTCATCAACGTAGCGCTTCCAGATCTAGAGTTTCTGTGTTGTGGATTCTATTCCTTGTTGTTCAAATACCTCCATGTAGAGGTTAACAATAACCGCGGAAACCGGGCTCCCCATGATTGCACCCTTTAGCTGTTCGAAGATCGAACCGTTAGGCTGGAAGTATGTGGATCACAATACGAAGCCTAAGAGGTCCGCAATCTGAGCAGGTGTAAGTGTCGTGCGGTCTTCAAGGCTTGGGTCACTCTCCTTGTGGATCTTAACTGGGATACACACATACATAAGTAAATACATAACCTCGAACTTTAGAGAAGCTAAAGAGCTAATATCTTCGAGGTGATCAAGAGACTACATAAAAAAAAATTTATAAATACATATACAAAATAATGATAATGATAATAATAATAATAATAATAATAATAATAAACGCATAAAAGTAAAGAAAAGAAAATATTATTTACAAATTCTCAATCTTAAGTTTAAGTGTGTCAAGCAAAAAAAGAATCTACATGAAGGTAACATCCTGTATTTTGGTTTTAAAGTCTGCAAAAAAACTTAGGGTAAAAATTCCATCAAAACGGCTCCAAGACATCTGTATATGTTTACAAAACTAGAAATAGTTTTTTATTCTTCAGTTGTAGAAATCTAGAATTCAGGGAAAATTCATAGAAACTGCAATGTTTACAAATACCGGAAGTCACGCATCATACTGACCCGTGATTGGCTTATTTACCGTTTAGTCGCAGGGACTGGTCGCACAAACAGTTCACACGAAGGGACAAACATTTGTTTCATGCGACAAGTCCCTGCGACTGGTCGCACGAATTCAAACCAGTTTGAATTCGTGCGACCAGTCGCAGGGACCAAATTTTGGTCCCTGCGACCACAGAAATGTGTAGTTCACACGAAGGGACTAGTCGCATGAAACTGGTCGCTGGGACGAGTCGCAGGGACTAGTCCCCTCGTGTGTGCCGACCTTTACCTTTTGCCGTTGCCATCACAGTTCGATTTGGTTTTGATGTGAGACTTTCGGAATATAGCAGCTTTTTGCGATTTAATTCGGTCTCACCGATGAAAGCGTAAAATGATACAAAAGATTGATTTTGATTTAAAAAAACAAATCCTTGGACGCGTTAAATAAAAGTGTAGACCGAAGAGGTTATTGTGTCTTAAAAAATCAGTGTACACTCTTACGTGAAAACTACAGCTGTGTCCTGGGAAAATGGATTTACATGCAAGCTTTTTTTACATTTAATATGTTTTGCCATTTCATGGCCGATCTTGTTACGGTCAAAAAAAGATATTGTCAGCCATAGTGTTTACTCCGGCTGAAGAGAATATGAAGTAGACTAAGTTTTCATTGAACAAGCCTTACTTCTCGGCGGGCTTTAGGGTCAACGAGGGAAATCAAAGCGGAAGGAATGAGCAACTCTTGACAAAACCAAGTTTTCTTCCACAAAGGTTTGTCACATATGTAAATCACATCGCATGAGCAGAGCACACGTCTTCTATAGCTTAAATTGGATTAATTGTGTACGATTGACGCATAATTTATAGGTTTACATAACTAGAAAATGGCGATTTCGTAAACATAGCATTCCCAGTTAAACATGTAGCATTTGCGCAATGTACAGTTTGCAAAAACTAGTAAACTGTGCGGAAAAATTTGGAAAATTGGTGTTTTAGATCGAGAGCTAACCTTTATGTATGTTTAAACGGTTTACCGGAACGTGACAGGAAAAAGGAAAGAGTACTTGTAAACAGATGAAGAAAAGACGTAAATTCCGCGTGGGATGTATTTCACAAGGATTATTACGCAAACTGCACGACTGAAAGACCAAAAGTTTAAAAAAACCACGAGCCGTTTTCGGTATTGTATCCAGTTATATTAAAACTTTTCGTCTTAGCTAATAAGAGTTGTAATTTGATCCTTTTTATCAAGTTTTGATTCAATATCAAAGTGAAAAATCTTTCCCTTTTTCATTTTTAGTCATGCAATTGAAATAACGGTCCAAAAAACAACGGTCTGAAAAACTGCTTTATTTGAATAAAAAATTCTAAAAAATGATAATAAAAATAAAACCTGAAAGAGAATAAATCATTTAAATGTTACAGATCAATCACGATAAACAGCTACAGAGGGCCAAAGTTTGTAATGGCTGATATCAGGAGCCCACGTGTTCCTGCCGATAATGGACTGTTACAAACTTTTCGCCATGCTAAAATTCTCTTTGTCACTGCTTTTAAAGGAAACCAGACTGCATATGAGGCTCAGAATTTTCGAACACTTTAGAATTCAACAGCTTTGATTTGAAATTAGCTCAAAATTCTTCGATCCTTTAGCAAAAATTGTGTGGGCTGTAGATGATAACAGATCACCAAAGGCAGATGGGTACTCAAGCTCGTCTCCAACAGAAATCCAGTATAACGCTTTATACATTTGAATTCAGTGTGAGCAGTAAGTTCTCTACGTATGATGCACGATCCTTCGCAGTAGATAGCGCTATTTTTGCAATAGCGAAAATCAGACCTGAAAAAAATCAGGCCTATACGGGATTCGAACCACTGACCTCTGCGATACTAGTGCAGCGCTCTACCAATTGAGCTAACAAGCCAACTGGGAGCAGGCCGTTAGGTTGATTCGTAATAAACCCGTGATGATAAATCGGATACAATGAATATATGAAATTCATATATTTTGAACTGCGGTATTAAATACGTATGAAGGATCGTGCATCTTACGTATTTCATACCGCAGTTCAAAATATATGAACTTCATATATTCATTGTATCCAGTAAGTTCTCTGTTGTTTAATTGGTACGAAGAGAATCCATTTTTCTTTCTCAATAAAGGAAGGTCAAACTTTCTCTGAGATCACCTAATATTGAGAAAAATGGTAGTACAAATTTTGGCCTACTCGTACGTAACCTTGGCAATTTGTTAAAGGAATCGGTAGTTAATCATTGTGGTTGACCTTATTATGCATCAGAAAGTGTTTACTTTGCCGCATTGTCTTTCTGATATAAGTCGCGATTATCCAGCGCGATGGTGTGCTGTTGAAGGTGTATGTGCGAATTGATGCGTAATAAGTGAGCTCGAGAAAAAAGC